GCGCCCGCCTGCCCCGCGCCCGCCCCGGCGCGCACTTACTTCTTGTCGGCTCCGCTGGAGAGCTGGGGCAGCGCTTCCAGGGCCTGCTTGAAGCTGGACCTGGAACAGAGCAGCAACGGGCTGAGCAGCTCCCGCTCCTCGGGAGCACAGGAAACACTAAGGGCTGACAGGCACCTTAATATCAAGAAGCTGGTGCGACGGGAGCGCGCGGACAGGAGGAAAAGCACGAGCGAAAAGCGCCAGCAAAGGGGGAGTGCCGTGCAGACCCAGAGGCTCCGTGGAGCAGGGTCGAAAGCTCAGGGAAAGGAAGCAGAACTTGGAAAACTGAAGGAGAAACCTTGGAATTTTATAGAAGGACACTCCTCGTGGTTGATGAAAGCTGAATGAGGACATTTAATTTTTTAAGAAGTCTTTATATCAAAACAAAACTGAACTCTAGATAAAACAACTAGTCAGAACGGAAACTTAGTAGAAAAAGATCTTGTGAAAGATCAAATGGGGACATTTATAGTATTGATGTGTCCAGGCCTGACTTACAGCCAGTATCTTATAATAACTGAACACAGTTTTATAGAACTTAGCTATTATTATGTTTAAAATTTGTAGGAAAATGGAGCGATGTGTATGTGTGTGTGTGTGTGTGTGTGTGTGTATAAAATGCAACATTATTTCATTTCATGAAAAAGAAGAGAGTGAATTTTATTTAATTCTCACCTGAGAATATTTTTTCCATTGATTTTTAGAGAGGGAGGAAGGGAGGAAGGGAGGGAGGGAGGTGAAAGGAGGGAGGGAGGGAGAAGTATCGATGTGAGAGACACATCAATTGGTTGCCTCCCACATGTGCACTGACCAGGGCCAGGGATCGAACTTGCAATCCAGCTACATGCCTTTGACCAGGAATCGAATCCATGACCCTTTGGTGCATAGGCCGATACTCTAACCACTGAGCCACAATGGCCAGGGCGAAAAAGAATGAATTTTAAAATCACCAATTTGGTACATTTAGCTTGTTAATGTAAAAAGTACCAGAAAAATTACTGAATCAAATGAGTAGCATTTTAGGGGAGATTATTTGATAACAACTTGCACCATTCACTAAAACAGCTGACTAAGGCGAAGAAATAAGTGTGATTACTCATGACTTGAAAGTGCTCTCCGATTTGCATTGTAAAAACATCCTCCTTGGTATATGCCAGAAAAGAACTTCTGAGCAGGACACACAATGCAAAGTCCCAACAGAGCCATAAAAAGTGGCACTGGATGCCCAGTTGTTTCTGGTGGCGGCAGGGTGTGGGTGCGGGGCAGGTACAGTCAGTGGGCACCCTTAGCTCCCTCCCAGCATGAAATCAGCTCCCCCTCCCCTGGCGTCCAGGGAAGTCTCTGCACATCCCCACAATCCTCATTTTCTGTAACTCTCTTCGCAATTAATCAAATAAACCGGATGCTATTACTCTTTATTTGTACATTGTGACAATGATGATGAAGACGATACTGCCTATTATTTGTAGGGCACCAACAGTTTAGAAGGTGGGTTGACATAGTTTCTCATTTAATTTCCCCAAAACTTTGCCTACAAAGTATGACCGTCTTCCTTTCACACTGAGGGGCTCAGGCTACGCGAGGCCGAGAGAGTGAGATGAACACACGTCCTTACAGGAAGCACCATGCACATCACACAGGGAAGGAACTGTCCATCCTCTGTCATTCAGCACTTGGTGTAAACATGACGGCTAGGAAAAGGGGTGTAGGTAACTGACCTGGGGGCCACCTACACATGCCTCTGGGCAGCCATGATGAACAGGGGGAAGCAGCTAACTTTGTCGGGAAAAGGATTTAAGAGGTCTTTCAGCGGTGAGCTGGCGTAAACCACGTTATCAGAAGGTGGAAATGAGTGAGTGTGCACTGCACAAAATACGAGTAAACATCTGTCTACCGCTGGCTTCTCATGCACTCCAAAAGCGTCACCCGAATTTCCTGGGTGATGTCGCCAGTGGAGTCAACAATTCTGTAAAAGCAGCAGTCAGTGCTGTTTCAGTCCACCTACGGTATTTCAATGATAGAAAATCCTGACTTTCATTCAAAACAGCTAAAAATTATCACCAAATTTCCACTACAGAGTTTTGCAGAGAAACCACAGGCTTCCTCTGGTGCTGACAATCACGGCGCAGGGCCTGTCCTCGGGTCGCTGTAAGCAGCTCGCTTCTCTCTCTGCTCCCTGAAGGGGTGCTCAGCTCCAGCACGTGTGCGGCCCGCATGGGTCTTGCAGGGTGAAAAACGTGAAATGCTACCAGATCTTTTTTCCTTTACATTATGCTACAGATCTCCAGTCTTAGGAGTCCGTGGCTCAGTATAGGTGTACGCTTTTAAACTAAAAACTTTATCAACCAAATATAACATTTTCACATCAGAGAATCATGAGCACTCACTGTGACTAATCTTTCTGCAGGGTTTACACGGTGTAAGACAAGGTTATTTCTGAAGAAGCTCAGATAGAACCGACAGCCTCTCACCTGCTTTCGGGAGTCAGGTAGACAGCCACAGTGTCCCTCAGCGCCCAGATTTCAAGCCTCGCCTGAAGAGAAAAAGCACAGAGTGACAGTGAGGAGCTGTGGTGATTATCACATAGCAGGAGGCAGGAGGGAGCCCGTCCCCAGCCTCTTACCCAGACACTACTGACAGAATACCACAGGCACCGGGCCACCTCCACCCGTGACTATTAGTGATGAGCAGACTTCTGGAAAGAGTCCAAAGAAGTCAGCTGTGACAAAGTTCCCCGACTGAAAATTAACTCACAGTCACGTATGACTGAGTGGAGGCAGGGAGCTAGATATCTTGCCCTAAAAGGCACACACTACACAAGGAGTTGCCAGCAATCTGCGTTCACTGTCTAAGCAGTACTGTTCCTCTAGCCTGCCCGTGCGAGGAAGGGGCCTGGACACTGCCCTGGACACTGCCCCCCCCAGGCTGAGGAGGCGGCTGGCTGACTCCCTTACGCCTTTGCCCTTCCAGGCGCCCGGCACGAATCACAAACGCTGAGCTCAAGTTCTACAGAGCCAACGCAGTGCCTATTAAAATCACAGCTGGCTTTTTTTTTTTTTAACAAAAATTGACAAGTTGGTTCCAAACAGACAAGACAATCTTGAAAAAGAATAACACAGTTGGAGAAACTCACACTTCCTGATGTCAAAACTTAGTACGAAGCTACGATAATCACGGCAGTGTGATGCTAGTACACGGACAGGCACACAGGTCAACAGTCCAGGACTGAGTGTCCAGAAATAAGCCCTTTCAGTTATGATCGACTGATTTCTGACAAGGATGCTGAGACCATTCAACGGACAGTCTCTTCAACAAGTGATGCTGGGACAACTGGACATCCTCATGCAAAAGACTGAAATTAGATCCCTTCCTTAACACAAACATTAACTCAAAACATAAGCAATAAAACTGTAAAACGGAGTCAATCTTTGTGACATTGGCTGGGCAAGCCTTCTTAGAAATGACATTGAAGTACAAGTGAGAAAAGAAAAACTAGATAAACTGGATGTCATCAATATTAAAAAGTCCTGCGCTCAGAAGGAAACCATCAAGAAAGTGAAAGAACAAGAGGTCGCCTTTCACGTAAGGGTGGCTGTCACCCAAGAGGCAAGCGGGCAGAGGGACTGGAACCTCAGGCACTGCTGGCCCGAAAGTGACAGGGTCCAGCCACTCAGAACACAGCCCGCAGCTCAATACAAACCAGAAAGAGGACCCACCCAACCCAGCAATTCCACTTCTCGGTATACAGCAAAAGAAATGAAAACATACGCCCCGCCCACAAAAACCTTGTAACTGAATGTTCACAGAGGCATCCTTCATATCAGCCCAAAGTGGAAACCACCCAAATAGTCACTAGATGATGAATGGGCAAATAAGATGTGGCATGTTACACAGTGGAATATTATGCAGCCATGAAAAGCAACGGCGTGCTGAGCCGCGCTGCAGCTAGTGAGGGAAATCAGTCACAGAAAACCGTGTCTGTATGATTCCATTTGTATGAAGCTTTCAGCATATGCAAACCACACAGACAGAAAGCAGACTTGTGTTTGTCTCGTGCTGGGGGTGGGGGAATGGACAGTGACTGCTAACGGGCCTGGGGTTTCTTCCTGGGGTGATGCCATGCTCTAAAATTGATGGTGGTGACGATTACACAATTCTGTGAACATAGTAAAAAAATCGCTGACCTGTGTGCTCTTTATCCTGTGGACACACTGCACAGCATATGAATTACAGCTGCACAAAGCTTTATGGCAGAGAGGCTAACACGCTCATGCTTGTTTGCAAGCCTGAAGAGGTGAGGCCTGACTCAGCGCCGTGCTCCTCCAAGTTCTAGAAGAGCCTCCGGCGAGAAGCCCACGTCCTTCGCCTGACTAGGCACCCGGTGCGGCTGGTGCGCACGAGACAAGAAGGAACGGCCCTGTTCTCCGGGACCATGTAAAACGTTACGGTCACAGGAGACACGGCAGGTTCTGCAAATTAGAGCTAAATGCAAAATCTGTAACCAGCCTTAGATAAAAGCTGATTTAGTTAACATACAGTATATTCAGTAAAACTTTTCTGTTTGGAAAGCAATTGTTTGGTCTCCTTTTCAGTGCTTTAGAAGCTAGAAAAGCACTTTGTAACTAGAAAGCACATGTATGACAATTTACCTCTACTGTTTACGCTCTAGTTTATGTAAAAGACATACCTACAAGGAAACTATCAAAGAGAAAAAATATGGTGGAACTTTTAGTTAATATTTTAGAATAAATCACTGTATAACTGATTTTCATGTAGAAATTTCATTCAAACAACGTGTTTTAATTAACCTATGACTTATGCCAATTATAAGTTGTCATTATTTATAAAACATACAAAAAACTGCATGCCAAAAAAATCATGCTAAAGATCAGCTAAAATCACCAACCAGTCTCTGCACTCCTCTGCCCTGGCTCTCGGGAAGGTCTGAAAACTCATGCCCTGGCCTTTGATATGAACGACTATTAGAGATCATTGACCTGGAGTCTTTCTCAGTTATCTGCTCAAAAAAAGATGTGAAAACAGCTTTCTCAACGGGAAAGGGTGAAGTGGGGGTAGTTACACTCATTGGGACTTTTTCAAAATAGAAAACGGCCAGCCCAGTTCCCAGGAAGTACAAAATGTTAGGAGGCCGAAGAGTCATGGTGGCCGGTTGTCTCCTGGACATGTGAACCTAAGTCCTCACTCAATGTCATCGACAGGTTCTTGGAAACTGTGAGGACATTCAGAGAAACAATGTACAATGAAACCAATTTTACCAGGGGCTAGTGGCCAGAAACAAGAGTTAAGTTCCCATGGCACATTTATGGTCACAAAAACACCACCAAACTTCTAAATAAAGACCCCAAACACTTCCAATATCAAACACTGAAATAACAGGTAGCTATATATATATTTAAGAAAAATTAATATAAAAAGTAACATTATCATCTTCCAACCCCCTTATTCCATTTCAGGAGTGTGAGTGGCAGAAGCCCACCCTGGCAGCCGAGGGCACAGGTAGGCCCCACCCCGGACAGGGCACCCTTCCATCATGGGGCCCACCATGCACCCCACTCACTCAGAGGGGGGACAGTGTACACACGTACACAGCTCTGGGATATGGGAGTCCCCAGAGAAAACCCCCCTAGACGTGGGGAGAACACGCAAACCCTAAACAGACAGTGGCCCCAGCCAGGAATCAATTTCTTTTCTTATCAACGTTATAATGAAATGACGTTGAACAAAACAAGGGTATCTGAGGACCTGCTGTCTATGGAAGAAGTCGCCGATCTTGGTACCTCTTCCTAAGCTCCGCCCACTAGCTTGGAGAGGGATTCTGCATCTGGTAAATGGGTTGCAGAGGTCATTTGCCTGGAGGGGAGATTTTTGTTATAATTTCAGAACTGCCTAGGTCAACTGTAGTTGCTACAGCTTCCTTTTAATTAATGTTCAGTATCACAACATTTATGCTACTGCTCTCCTGCAACAGAACTACTATAATAATCATTACCTTTCAACTTTATATCAAAAGTTTGATAAATCAAATTTTTGGAGAAAACGGACGGCAACTGGAAATACAGCAATTTTTGTAACAAATTTTCCCCTAACCAACTTGCCAAATTAACAAGTGCTTTCCATTCCTATTGCCTACGAATATTTTTGTATGAAAATTTTCCAATGTACAGAGGCTCTGAAAGAATTTCACAGTGGACACCTGTAGCCCCACAGAATCTACCATTAACATTAGTAGCATTATCACTTATCTATCCAATGATCAGTCCATTGCAGGGCTTTACATACTTCACCATGATGATTAACTACAGTAGATTGTTCAATTCTTTTTTTATTTTTTGAGTTATAATGTACATACTGCACAATTGGCAAATCTCCAGTGTATCATTTGATGAGTTTAGACTGACGCATACACCTGAGCAACGGAAACCGTAGAACTACCCTGTGAAGGTCCTTCAGGCCCCTTCCCACCCAACCTCAACTGCCCAGAGGAAAGCCCTTTCCTGAGGCTTTTCTGCCACAGATGAGAAACCCACAGTCATGTGTGTGCTTCGGTGTAAGGCTTCCTTCACTCAGCCGAGTGCTCCTGAGATTCACCCAGGTGGGAGCAGCAGTTTGTCCCCCTTCATGCTGAGCATTTGGTCACATGAACATACCACAGCCTGTTTATTCTGCTGATGGACACCTGGGCTGTTTCTAGTTTTGGGCTATTATAAAGAAACTGGTTATGAGCATCTTCTATGTTTTTTTAAGAACGTATGTTTTTAGTTCTCTTGGCTAAATACCTAGGATTGGAATGGCTGGGTCACAGAGAAGATGTATGTTTAGTTTTCAAATAAACTGCAAGCACTTTCCCCAAAGTAGCTGTAAGATTCACACCCTTAACAATGTGTGAGCTCCAGCCGCCAACGCTGACCAGTCTTTCACGTGCCGAGTGGCCGTTCTGACTCCGCTGAATTATGTGTATGCTGGACCTTCGGACGTTGCCCCAGGAACCTCTAGAGCTCCGTTAATTTTTTCCCCAATTATTCTTTTCTCTGTTTTTCATATGGAATAATTTGTGTTCACCTACAAATTCCCTGATTTTTTCCTTTTGTCCTCTCTACTCTGCAGTTATTCCGATCAAGCAGATTGTGAAAAATTCATATACATACATAGTCCACTTTGGAACTTCCATTTAGTTCCTCTCGTAAGGTTTCCCTTTTTCTGCTGAGATTTCCTATCTCTTCATTCATTTGAGCCCAGTCTCCTTTACATCACTGAACACAACTGCTTTAAAACCTGTGTCTCTGAATTCTAACAACTGGGTCATCTCAAAGTTGCTCTCAGTTAGTTGACTGTCTTTTCTATTGAAAATGGGTCATGTTTTCCTGTTTTGTTCTGTTTGTACATTTCAATTAAATTTGGATTGTATCCTAGACACTGTGCATGTTATGCTGTGGAGACTCTGGATTCTGTATTATGCCTCCGAAGAGTGTTGATTCTGTTTTGCCTGTTTTAGCAAGCAATTTACTTATTTGGACTCAAACTGAAAACTCTTGGCTCTTGGGAAGCATTTTAACTCTCACTTCAGTTCTTTTGGCCTTAACTGGGCTGGCTGTAGTGGAGTCCGCCATGCATATATAGTTCAGGGGCCAACTAGACACTTAGCAGGGTATATACACAACTTGTAGCTCTGGCTTTCTGGAACACCATCCTTGCTTTCCTGGAGTTGTGGCTGCCCTATTCTTCAAGCCCAAAAGATGCAGGTCGTGTGGAGTTTTAAGTATCCCCGGGCCTGCCTTCAGACTAAAAAACCCATAAAAAGTAGAATTCACCCAAGTATCATTTCTCCCAGAATCACCCATCAATGGTCATTTCTCCAGTGTCTTCAGATTTTTCTTTTTCTTTCAACACTTAACATTTCTTATATGTTATTGAAGATTATAGTTGGTGTCTATAGGGGCTTGGCCTTATAAGAGCTTCTTCAGCCATTACTGGAAGAAAACGGCCAGGACTTTTTAAAAACACACAACGTTCCAGGCCACTGAGCACCCCATGCAGGTCATGCTCCTATCTGCCTGCACACCTTGGCTCCCAACGAGTGTATTACACGCACACCAAGAATAACTTGGTTTATATAAGTTATATTTGCTATTGTGATTATGTAATTTAAATAACTATGACATAAACCAATGGGATATAAGAGCAAAGAGACCGTTGTTTCTAAGCAAACTACATTGAATAGTTTGGAAAGACTTATTAAAAGTTGCTAAAAATTTCTTGTGAAATTAAATGTAGTGAAGACAACTATAAAATAAGAAGAGAAAAAAAATCACAGAACTGTAGAGGGAATCTGCATTCAACTACTTCCATCAGGCTGGTCAGGTCCTGCCCTGTCCTAAGGACAGGAACTCTGGACCCTGTAGATGAGGCAGGATGGGTATGGCTACGCAAGATACACGGTGTGGCCTCAGATCAGAAGAGCCATAAAAACAACTACACACGCACATGCTCATGCACCCATACACACACAAAACAACCCCGACCGTCTGTCTAGGATGACACTGAGGACTCAGAACACATGTGCACGTCTGGATGAAATGGAGTCGATGTGCCCGGAGAGGTCTGGTACCTGCAAGGCTCCGTTTCTGCTGAAGGATGACACACACTGCATGAGTCGACTGAGCTCTTCAGAAACTGCTTCCACCACCCTGGACAGGACCCGAGGCACTAATTCTTTGGAAACAGTGAACACCTGAAAGAAGGTTTAAAATAAGGAGAAATGGTGCACTATGGGGACTTGTCCTGACAAATTTGTTAAAAACAAAGGAATGCACAAAAAAGTTGGGGGAAAAGACCACCACAAAAACCATCAAATTAGCCTCTTTTTTCCAGTTCCCCATATCTCTTAGGAACATCTAATGATAGCTTACCTCTGCATGCACCGCAATTATATTCACCAAGGCTTCTTTTAAATAGTTTCTGACACCTAAAATCAAGGTGGGGGAGGGAAAAGGCATTTAATGGAAAGGCGAGCTGCCAGCCCCCTGCTGGCACCGCTGTGCACAGTACAGTTTTCTAAGGAGAAACAGAAAGTAACACTGCTGCTGTCTATTTCCTTTAGAGAGCCAAATGGTGAAAGGACTATTTTTGTACAGGCTTAAAAAAAAACTTAAATTATTTAAGAGTTTTCTTTCATTTTTCCATTCTGTCATTGTTTATGTTCTCTATAACTGTTGGTCAGTCTCCTTCAAAATTGAAATTTTAAAATGTCCTTTGGTTTCTTCATATATGTATTCTTCACATACATGCATATACACACTCCAATTAAGACAAAAAATAGACACCAGAAGAATAGTTACCAAAACTTATAAAACATCTGCTCAGTATCTATTATAGCATCATACTTCCAAAGGTAAAAGTTAAGCAGAACTATTCTGATCTTTAAAAAGTTACTTCTGGGAGAAACTTCTGACAAAACCCCACTCAATCTGATTCTGTAAGGCGAGTTAATGACTGGACAAAACACAAGATTTCAGATGGCACAGAACTAATGAACACGTTTCACTCCAAAGCAGGCACACACGAGACTTAGTGGACGAGTCGGAAGTCAGGTGATCTTGGACTAGACCCCAGTGTCTTAAGCTACACACTGTAATTTCTGCAAGAGGACTGAGCTGCTTTCTCTTCTATGATGAGTGTAAGAATAGTGCCGATCTCGTAGGTTACAGTGAGGATTAAAGAAGATAATGCATGTGATGGGCCCTGGTAGTCACAGGGTTCATCAACACAGCTTCCTTCATAATGAAGGCAGTTAATTTTGCAAGAAAATATGTGAAAACAAAACACCACTCTATTGTACCTCCAAAACAATGACTTCCCCTTGGAGAGGAGTGACTCCGAATGCCTTCCAAATTAACGGCACCCCGAGATTCCTTCTCTGCAGAAGAGGGCACACCCTCCTGCACTGTGAAACCAGGTGCTAGCAGGATGGTGCGAGGAGAACCTTCCCCAGCATCATCAAGCTAGTGCCTGCTGAGGAAAGTGGAGACAAAGGCGAAGACTGTAACCAACTGTTTCCATGGCATCTCCAGAGTCTAAATGTATAACTAGCTTTTGATTTGTCATCCACAATGTTGTATAAATAGGTGCAACAATTTCTTTTGTGGAGCCAATTTCATGTATATTTCTTTGGGATATGAAGGTTCAGGTGTTATTAATTACATTTTGCTAATGAAAAAACAGAGAGAGCTGAATGAAGAATAATTAAATATAATACAGAAATTAGTTGATTCTTCCTGAAAAAAAGATAATTACAAAGTAACAAGTCTTACCTGGGAGGTGGGAGAGAAGATACAGGGAACTATTATAAGTGAAAGTGAAATAAACTGACTGCTCAAGGCCAGAAAAGCTTCCTTCCTGCGAGAGAGAAGCCACGCCAGAGGTGCTGCCTGGGCTGCTCGCTGCAAGAGCTGGGGCCCGAGGTCCAGCCTGGCTGTGCCCTGTCCCGGTGACCACGCTCACCAGGCCCGTAGGCTACATCTTGTTCCCTGCTCTCAGGGCAGCTCTCCAATGTGATGGGGGGAGGCAGGGAGGGGCAGTCTGGGTCCCTGCACCCAGGTCTAGGATCTTAAACTGCAACCCCGTGGAAGTGTAGCTCATAAATGCAGACACACATAAAGTGTGCATGGTTACTAAAAACACAAGCACATTAGGCCAATGATGATCTAAGCAACTTACGAGTAAGGAATTCAACAGCCTCTGCCCTCCATGAAAACCAGGGTCCCATCAATGCTACTATGTGAACAAACCTCAGGAGTCTGGGTTCTAGCAATGTTCTAGTGACGATGACTGAAAATAGGAGGGCAGTTTTTAAGTTTAAAATTTTTTTAATGTTAGAGAGAAGAGTGGGGCCAGAGTGCTGACTAAAAAACAAAGAATTAAACTTAGATGAAGCAAGACAGTGCCACATGCTCATATGCTATAAACTCAACTCCCACTCTGACCCTGACAGGAAAAACATTTCCTGGCAAGAGCCCATCAGACTAAGCATTACTAATAAAACACCCTGTAAAAGAGATAAATCTAAATTACTCAGTACAACTCTAAAGAAAAAGCTGTGAATAGGAGGATGAAAGCACAGGACACTTTCAGCCAGTAGAATCCTATTTCTGTTGATATGAAATTTGAAAAAAACAACGCCCAAGCTTCCTGTCTTACGCTGGCCATAGGTTTCACAGGGATAACGTATTGGAAGGAGCACAGAGCCTTAACCTCGGGAAAGGAAAAAAAGTCTGGATTTCTTGGAGACCTTATTTTTGTCAACAGAAAAAAATGAAACAACTACCACCACCCCGTGTCCCCCAACAACATAACAAACTGCTCCAGGGGTAAGTGGTGATGTTGGAAAGGAGAAGGGGGAAGTGTGTGGTCCTGAGGATGAACAGAAAAGAGCAGGGCTCCCAGTCAAGTCCCAGGAGGTCAGGAAGGGTTCAGGGGGACAGCGCTAAACTGAACACATCTGGAAAGGGAGCGCTAGCTCAAGGCCGAGCTCAGTGAAACAGGGCTACAGCCTCCCGAAGTGATGCATAAGCTGGTGTGCTAACTTAACAAGAAACATTTAAAACATATAAACAAATCACTGATTGCTTCTCTCCAAAGCTACCCATTGTGTTAATAGAGAGATAAGTTTTTTTGTATTTCCTACTGGGATGAAACTGTTTATTTCTAAGGGAATGACTAAAAGTTCTCATTCCTTTAACATAAATTTGTTGCAATTCCAGGCCACACTGCTAGGCACACCTCAGAGGCAGGCAGACACTAGGTCCTTCCATTAGAACACGTAAGTACCCAATAATAGTAGGACCTCACAGTGCTTAATTATTTTTACCTTCATTTACTGGTGTTTATATGTATCTATCTACTTGTATGTAGAAACTGGAGCTAGATGGCTATATGAAAGGGTTTTAAAAAAATTTTTGTACTCCAACTTAATGTGTGAAACATTTACTTGCTATTTCTATTTCGTGCAGTTTTCAAAGGTTAAAGAATAGCATTTAGGGAGAGGTGGCAAAGTCAGGGCCTAAAGACTAGACAGTGTCTAGGGAGTGAGGTATGAAGGGTTATAAACATGACACAGATAAGATCTCTGTGGTCTTCCTAGTTAAGAATTTCAATTCCTTTCTCTCTTCACTCTGTTCTACAGCCAGCTATCTAATGAGAAACAAAGCCAGCATCAAACCCTGCTCACCTGCCTTCCTTTCCCAGCCTACTCAGGGGGCCACACTGAGTCCTGAAGATGGGCTTCTAACAAACTAAATGCAGATTAACCCTTGGGCTTGTCTGTTTCTTTAAAATGCTGCTCCAATTCAATTGCAAGAGGACTGTCAGTTCAGTCAAGTCTGCACCAAAAGAGGCCTGTCTGTACCAGTGGCAGGTGCCAGAGGTTTCCTCGCTTGCTCCATGCGGCACTGACATCAAAGAACGCCACCAAAACACAGCTGGCAGCAGGTGGCAATCTCCTTTTCAGGAGCTAGAGTGGCCAGTTGCTCTAGTCTGACTGGGAAAAGAAAGTATGGAAATCATGCCAGAGGATAGAAATGCAGGCCTCAGAGCTGGAAGAGACGAGACCTGGGTTTTGGGGAATGTGAAGGTGGGTCTTCCTGTGATTCCACTGACAGCTGGGCCACACTCGGCAGACTTTTCCTTGAATGGAAGGGGCGGATTTGGAAAGTAAGACCGAGGTGGCAAGGACACCAAGAAGGATGCTGCCTGAGAAAGACCCCGGAGCTGTCGGAGGAGGGCAGCAATATGTTCTGCTGTCAGTGCCGGAGGCCCTGAGGCAGACGGGAGAGGAAGTGAAGGAGTGTAAAGGGACCACAGTCATGGCGCTTGGGGTCAGGTCCATTATCGTGACCATTTTGTAGTTAATTTGGGTTGTATGTGTTCCTTCTCTTCCCACTACACTTTATTCTAATTTTAATATTATTAACAATAGAGGTTAATGATGACTTTTAAGTTTATTGAGGTAATAGGAAAAACACTCAATGTAAAGTCAGAAGACTTGGGGCCCACGCTCCGGCTTACCTGTATACTACTAATAAGGCCTCAGGCAAAAATAAGCTCACTTTTTAGACAACTGCCTTCTTTGCGAAATGTAGAGATTACAACATGTTTTGCTAACAAAGCTGTTATAAAAATGTAACATGTTTATTCCTTTATTCCTCAAATATCTATTGTGTACGTACCATGTGCTAGGCATTGCCAGGTGGTGGTGTATGTGTATCTCGGGTGCTACTTTTTTAATAAAGACATAAACAGTTGGGGAAAAGGCATGTATGGAAAAAATACACTAATTTCTCTTTCTGAAACACCTGGTATAGAAGTCTTGTCACCTAGCTGCAGATGTCCAACTTGCAGGTGGAGCCCCTCCGAGGGTGCCTGGAACTAGCAACAGGTGAGAAATGGGGGCACAGGGAACCTGGGGACAGCTGGGGGTGCAGGTGAGAACTGAGGGCAGCAGGCAGCCTGGACACAGATCAGAGCTACTGGAACGCTCTATGACCGGCAGAGACTTGTCTGTTATGATGTTCTTACTTTGCTGGTTTACAAACATCTCTGGAAGTTGGCATTTTAGTGGAACTCTTGTGCTGGTTTTGAAAAGAAAGGCTGAACACCACATACTAGGGAGGCTGGGAAGGCTGGCTCCTATGTGACATCTGAGCAACGGCCGGAATTAGAATTCTACAGCGTGGGGCACAAGTAGGTTTAGAGTTGTGAGTTGCGAGACGGAGCTTATTCTTGTGTTATTTATTAATTATTGCATTATTTCCCATGGAACCGTAAACCTACTTTTTGCAGCACCCCATTTATATGTGAACAGAAGGCAGAAGCAGATGCTAACCACAAATACCCATGTACTTACTAAGCAGTCACCTTTGGGCAAGTTTCTGAGCGGCTCTAACTTGTCATTCTCTCTTTATAAAACAG